AAATATCAAAAAAGCACAAATAACCAATAGGAGAGAAGGTACCAATAGCCAGTAAGAGAGAAGGCAGAAATAACCAATAGGAGAGAAGGTACAACTGACTAATAGGAGAGAAGGTACAACTAACCAATAGGAGAGAAGGTATCAATAACCAACATGATGAATAAAAGCAGACAATACCACAAATCCTACAGATCACAGGAGCATATTTTGAATGAGTGTATGCAAAAATTGTAATATATCCTAAAACTGACAAATTCCTATAATAATTGAATGTGTAATTGAAAACCTTCCACAAAGAAAACGCTAGACCCAGAGCAGATATCTGGAAAATTATCTCACCATTTAAAAGAAAATAACCCTAACCTTAAAAACAACAACAAAAAGTATTGTTGTGAACTGGAAAAGAGGGAGCACTTTCCAGTACTGGTCTGTGAGGCCAGCCTAGTTGTGATTCCAAAACCTGCCAGGCACCACAAGAAAGAAAAACAGTAAGCCACTCTTTTTGATGAACAGAGATATTAAAGTCCTTAAAATTATCAAACTAGTGCAGCAATATGTAAAAAGAAGAATACACCTTCAACAAGTTGGGTTTATTTGGAGATGCAAGGTTGTTATAGATTTTAAAATTAATTGAGGTACCATATACATTAACATAATAAGAAAGTCCACCAGCTCACCTCTAGAAATGTGGACACAGTAAAATCCATAAAATTAACCTCCATTCATGATTTTTTAAAGCTTTTAACCATCTAGAAAAAAACAGTACTTCTTAAGTTATATATGAGACATTTACAAAAAAAATACAATAAGAAGTATATCTAATCAATGAACTAGGAACACTTTTCCTCTGAGCTAGAGAACAAACCTATGCCTTCCATTGGCCTTTTACAGGGTCCTGACAAGAGCAATTAAAAAAAGAAATGAAGAAATAGAACTATCATAGATATGATTGCATATGAAGAAAATTCAAAGAATATTCAAATAAACTATTAAATTTAGTAATTTTAGAGATGTTGCTGGCCACTATATTTTAAGTGTATTTTTTATCTAAAATGCAATTTAAGGGGTAGAAATGGGGTTGAGCAGATGGCTAAAGATCTGGCTGAGAGAGTGGAGGTCATGGAGCCCTTGGATGTAGCCAGGGGGGTCAGGAGATTGGTTACCTACTGGGAAAGTAAGAGAAGCTAGTGCATTGAGGGTAATAGAGGGAAGACTCTCACTGTTGGTGAGAGGAGATATAGATTTGGAAAAGGCGGGAGGC